CGGAAACCATCGATTACTATTAAGTGTTGAGCAAAGCAGACATGTTTATAATATAAGTCTTACTAGATAACTCGATTTGAATCTAAAGGAGCTAGTTTAAACCAAACTAAATGTAAGAGTTCAGGCCCACCACTAGCCAATATTGTTCTTTTTGTGATTCCCCTTTTGGGATTCCCCTCAAGGTTTTAAAACGTGTCTGCTGGAGAGAGGTTTGTACATCCTTATAAGAAATGGTTCGTTCCCCTCTCCAACTGATGTGAGATCTCACCATCCACCCCTTGAAGGTTTAGTGTTCTTGCTGGCACACCAACTGGTGATTGGCTCTGATACCATTTATAAAAGTACAAACCCACCGCTAGTAGATATTATCCTCTTTAAGCTTTTCCTATGGGCTTCCACTCAAGGTTTTAAAATCTGTCCTCCAAGGGAGAGGTTTCCACACCCTTATAAAAAATGTTTCCTTTCCCTCTCCAACCGATATGAGATCTCACAATCCATTACCCTTAAAGGCCCAGCATCCTCGTTGGCACACCACCCGATGACTGGCTCTGATACCATTTGTAACAGCCTAATCCCACCGCTAGCAGATATTGTCCTATTTGGGTTTTTCCTTTCTGCACTTCCCCTCAAGTATTCAAAATGTGTCTGCTAATGAGAAGTTTTCACACCCTTACAAGGAATGATTCGTTCCTGCCCTTGGGGGCCAACGTCCTCGACACACTATCCAGTGACTATCATTTATAACAGCGCAACCCATCACTAACAGATATTATCTTCTTTAGGTTTTCTCTTTTGGGCATCCCCTCAAGGTTTTAAAACGCGTCTACTAGGAAGAAATTTCTAAACTCGGATAAGAAATGCATCGTTCCTCGAAGAAAAAAAAAAACAACAATATGATATGATCTTGAAATGCAAATGCAAGGGAGAGTGGGGCATAAATGAATGTTAAAGTTTGTTGTTTTTGGCATTAAATAAAGGTGCATGCATGCATTCATTCTCGATCTTATTATATATGAATAATAATAATAATAATGCATACAATATGGGATGTCTACAAATGCATAGCTTTTTTAATTAATGTCTATGGAATCTTATCTTATACCATACTATTCCTTTGCCCATATGTCCCACCATCTCAACATTTTCATATGTTTTTATATCACAACTTAAAACATCATGTGATGATGTGTGACATTTGCTATCCCTCACCTCATTCCCACCACTTACTCCCCATTCTTTTTTTAATAGTTCTACGTTATTCGTACACTATTTTAGGTCTCTTCGGATAATATCCATTTCTATTTTTCAATGCTATTTGGGTTCGAGCGTAAGTCAGTGATGCTTTCAGCTACTAGACTCCTGCCATCTAAGCTGCAGCACGATACTTGTATTGCTCTCCCACAATCATGTTTTCACGGTTTAGGTTGTTCCCATTTTGCTCGCTGCTACTACGAGAATCCCTTTTTCTTTCTTTTCTTCTAGCTACTAATATGCTTCTGTTCGCCATGTTGTCTCTTACCTACCGATAGATTTAGTAGCAATTTAAAAAGCTGACCTATTTGAGAATCTCCGAAACTACGTTTATTTTCAACTCCTTGATTTTCATTTACAATTTTAAAAGATTTCAATTCTAGCACGAACCTAGAAACTTTCATAGAAGTTAAGGGTAATATTGTAATTTTTTAAATAATTAAGACATTTTTTAAACAACCAACAAAGTTTATATTATATATATATAATTCATTTATTTTTGTTAAAAGAAAACAAAATATAAAACGAACCGAAAAATAGAATATTCTTTAAAATTTAAAGTTGGAGATGGAGATTTAAACTTTAATTTTAAATTAAAAGGAAAATTCAAGGAATAAATTTTAAAAAATTAAAAACTAAAATAGAATATTCTTTAAAATTAAAAAAAATAAATTATTAGATAATAAAATTTAAAAAAGAAATTGTATGTAATAAGTCCTATATATATATATATATATATATATATATATATATATATATATATATATATATATATATATATATATAAGTGATATCCAGCTGTGACAAATTTGTTTTGAGATAAAAAATGATTCCATCCCATCCAAGTTGAATTATATATATTCTAGGAAGGAGGCTGCTTGGTTTGACTTTGACTATTCAAAACAGTGCCCATTTCTTTTCTTTTTTATTTTAAATAAAATAAAATAAAATAAAATATTAGACTTTTTATCAAAATTATATTCACTGCCATCCAAAAGTTGTTAGGAGAAATGGAACCCACCAATTAGACTTTTTATCAAAATTATATTCACTGCCATCCAAAAGTTGTTAGGAGAAATGGAACCCACCAATAGGAACCACAATGCAAAACTATATATATATATATATATATATATATATATATATATATATACACACCGAACACGAAAGAGATAAGTGATATATATATATATATATATATATATATATATATATATATACACACCGAACACGAAAGAGATAAGTGATAAACTTGTGATAAGACTGAACTAACTTTTCTTTTTGGATAGAGATGATGTATGCTAACCGAGGACAAGCTAGCGAGCTAGAGACTACAGTGAATCTATTTTAACTTTTCTTTTTAGGTATAGATGATGCAGGCCAACCGAGGACGAGATTAGCAAGCTAGAGACTACAAGAAATCTATTTTTAAATATAGATGATGCTGGTCAACCGAGGACGAGACCAGTGAGCCAGAGACTACAGTGAATCTATTTTAACTTTTCTTTTTAGGCATAGATGATGCAGGCCAATCGAGGACGAGATGACGAGCTAGAGACTACAGTGAATCTATTTTAACTTTTCTTTTCATGTATAGATGATACAGGCCAACCGAGAACGAGATCAAGCAAGCTAGAGTCTACAGGGAATCTATTTTGACTTTTCTATCCAGATATAGATGATGGAGGCCAACCGATGACGAGATTAGCAAGCTAGAGACTACAAGAAATCTATTTTTAAATATAGATGATGCTGGTCAACCGAGGACGAGACCAGTGAGCCAGAGACTACAGTGAATCTATTTTAACTTTTCTTTTTAGGCATAGATGATGCAGGCCAATCGAGGACGAGATGACGAGCTAGAGACTACAGTGAATCTATTTTAACTTTTCTTTTCATGTATAGATGATACAGGCCAACCGAGAACGAGATCAAGCAAGCTAGAGTCTACAGGGAATCTATTTTGACTTTTCTATCCAGATATAGATGATGGAGGCCAACCGATGACGAGATTAGCAAGCTAGAGACTACAAGAAATCTATTTTTAAATATAGATGATGCTGGTCAACCGAGGACGAGACCAGTGAGCCAGAGACTACAGTGAATCTATTTTAACTTTTCTTTTTAGGCATAGATGATGCAGGCCAATCGAGGACGAGATTGACGAGCTAGAGACTACAGTGAATCTATTTTAACTTTTCTTTTCATGTATAGATGATACAGGCCAACCGAGAACGAGATCAAGCAAGCTAGAGTCTACAGGGAATCTATTTTGACTTTTCTATCCAGATATAGATGATGGAGGCCAACCGATGACGAGATTAGCAAGCTAGAGACTACAAGAAATCTATTTTTAAATATAGATGATGCTGGTCAACCGAGGACGAGACCAGTGAGCCAGAGACTACAGTGAATCTATTTTAACTTTTCTTTTTAGGCATAGATGATGCAGGCCAATCGAGGACGAGATGACGAGCTAGAGACTACAGTGAATCTATTTTAACTTTTCTTTTCATGTATAGATGATACAGGCCAACCGAGAACGAGATCAAGCAAGCTAGAGTCTACAGGGAATCTATTTTGACTTTTCTATCCAGATATAGATGATGGAGGCCAACCGATGACGAGATTAGCAAGCTAGAGACTACAAGAAATCTATTTTTAAATATAGATGATGCTGGTCAACCGAGGACGAGACCAGTGAGCCAGAGACTACAGTGAATCTATTTTAACTTTTCTTTTTAGGCATAGATGATGCAGGCCAATCGAGGACGAGATTGACGAGCTAGAGACTACAGTGAATCTATTTTAACTTTTCTTTTCATGTATAGATGATACAGGCCAACCGAGAACGAGATCAAGCAAGCTAGAGTCTACAGGGAATCTATTTTGACTTTTCTATCCAGATATAGATGATGGAGGCCAACCGATGACGAGATTAGCAAGCTAGAGACTACAAGAAATCTATTTTTAAATATAGATGATGCTGGTCAACCGAGGACGAGACCAGTGAGCCAGAGACTACAGTGAATCTATTTTAACTTTTCTTTCCAGATATAGATAATGCATGCCAACCGAGGACGAGATTGGCGAGCTAGAGACTACCGTGAATCTATTTTAACTTTTCTTTCTAGATATAGATAATGCAGGCCAACCGAGAATGAGATCGGCGAGCTAGAGACTACAGGAAATCTATTTTAACTTTTCTTTCCAAATATAGATAATGCATGCCAACCGAGGACGAGATTGGCGAGCTAGAGACTACCGTTAATCTATTTTAACTTTTCTTTCCAGATATAGATGATGCAGACCAACTGAGGACAAGATCGGCGAGCTAGAGACTACGAAAATCTAGTTTAACTTTTCTTTACAGATATAAATGATACAGGCCAACTGAGGACGAGACCAGCGAGCCAGAGTCTACCGTGAATCTATTTGAACTTTTCTTTCCAACTATAGGTGATGCAAGCTAACTAAGAACGAGATAAGCTAGAGACTACAGAAAATCTATTTCTGAGTCTGTTTTGTGTACACATGGTTTTCTCAAATGAAAACTTACTCTAGCTATTTTTGTGTGATAAAAAGTCCTAGTTTCACATGTTTTACTTGTATGTATGAAAATGTTTTGGTTATATAACTGGTTTTCAAACTAAATTATAGATATTAGTGGCTCCTGTGAATAGAGTTTTAGATTAGCGGGTCTTTCAAGTTATGTATAAAAAAATCATTGAGAGAGATAATGAAATGAACCAGCATACACAGAATCTTAGGCCAAAAGTCTGTCTGTTTTCAATCCATATTTTATTTCAACAAGGAAGAGGGAAGGAGGGAGAGAGGCCTGGTTTGTTTGGTCTAGTCTGGTCCAAGAATCTGCTTCTTTGAGGGTTTGGGTCCACCCCGTTTTGCCCATTTCCTCTAAGCCGATCGCCATTAATGAGTAAATCAAGCTCTGCAACTCCACCCTCATCGGCAAAACCCTCATGGGTCCTCCCTTATCGGACCCAACCCCTCACCGATTTCTACACCCTTGGCAAGAAGCTCGGCCAAGGCCAATTTGGAACCACTTTTCTTTGCACCCACAACCAAACTGGGTTCAACTACGCCTGTAAGACCATCCCTAAGCGCAAGCTTCTGTGCAAAGAGGACTATGACGATGTTTGGAGGGAGATTCAGATAATGCATCATTTGTCTGAACATCCCAACATCGTTAGGATCAAGGGCACTTATGAGGATCCGGTCTCTGTTCATTTGGTGATGGAGCTTTGTGCGGGTGGGGAGCTGTTTGATAGGATCGTTCAAAAGGGTCATTACAGTGAGCGAGAGGCGGCTAAGCTAATTGGGGTTATTGTGAGTGTTTTGGAGTCTTGTCATTCGCTTGGAGTTATGCATAGAGATCTTAAACCTGAGAACTTCCTGTTTCTAAGTGTGGATGAAGATGCTGCTCTTAAGGCTACTGACTTTGGGCTCTCTGTCTTCTACAAGCCAGGTTTCTTTTCCCCTTTTGGGTTCATTTTCTTCTGCAAATCTCATATCTATTTCTCTGCCTTTTGGATATGAAATTAGTGTTTCAGGCTTCATTGATCTGTTCTATATTGACCATTTCCACTTTTTTCTCCACAAAAATCGATAGCCATTGCCAAGATAGAGGTCTCTTACTCTCGATCTTTTCAGCAAATTGTTGAGGATTGTTGAGAGAGAGTCTCGTATTGGCTAATTAAGGGAATGGTCATGGGTTCATAAGTAACGAATACATCACGATTGGTATGAGGTATGAGGCTTTTTGGGGAAGTCCAAAGCAAAGTCATGAGAGCTTATGCTCAAAGTGGACAATATCATACCATTGTGGTGATTCGTGATTCCTAACATGGTGTCAGAGTTATGTCCTTAACTTAGCTATGTCAATAGAATCCTCAAATGTCGAACAAGAAGTTGGGACCCTCAAAAGTGTAGTAAAAAAGTGACCCAAGTGTTGAACAAAGAGTGTACTTTGTTCGAGGACTCCAGTGGAGTCGAGCCTCTATTAAGGGGAGGTTGTTCGAGGGCTTCATAGGCCTCAGGAGAGACTCTATAGTGTACTTTGTTCGAGGGGGGATTGTTGGGAGGGAGTCCCACATTGACTAATTTAGGGAATGATCATGGATTTACAAGTAAGAAATGCATCTCCATTGATATGATGCATTTAGGAAAACTAAAAGCAAAGCCGTGAGAGCTTATGCTCGAAGTGTATAATATCATACCATTGTAGAGATTCGTGATTCCTAAAACAAATTATGTGTCGACTCAAATCTTCTGCTTAGAACTTGATTTATGATGAAATAAAGATTTGTATCAAAATGAGGAAGAGTACCTTATTTCATACAAGTTTTATCATCGTCCAGCATCGTGTTGGGACGGTCCCCAATATTGAATATGTAGTGTGCATAATAACAAATAGGATTAACCCTGCAAAGTAAAGGGTCTCTCAGAAATTATGATTGAACAAAGGAAACAGAATGGATTGTATCTACACTATTAGGAATCACGACTCTCCACAATGGTATGATATTGTCCACTTTGAGCATAAGCTCTCGTAGCTTTTCTTTGGGCTTCCCTAAAAGACCTCATACCAATGGAGGTATATACCTTACTTATAAGCCCGTGATTAACCCCTTAATTAACCGATGTGGGACTCCTCTCCCAACAATTCCTCAACCTACATTCAACATACACTCAACATACACAATGTAGTGCTAAGCTACTACTCAACCTTATTCTTTACATTTTCTTGAACTTTCTGTGTTCTTAGATCTTAAATTGTTTGCAGGGGAAACGTTTTCGGATGTTGTCGGTAGTCCATACTACGTCGCACCAGACGTGTTACGCAAGCATTATGGACCGGAATCTGATGTTTGGAGTGCAGGGGTTATCTTATATATCCTATTAAGTGGGGTACCTCCATTTTGGGCAGGTAGCTACTAGAAATCCTTAGGTGTATGCATAAATGACATATCCTGGAAAGTTTTGGATGAGTAACACTTTCGACAGAGTTTCGTTATCGATAATTTTCTCCGTTCTTTGTACTACAGAAACTGAAATAGGGATCTTCCGACAGATATTACAAGGACGACTGGATTTCGAATCGGAACCGTGGCCTGGCATTTCAGCAAGCGCAAAGGATCTTATACAGAAAATGCTTGACAGAAATCCAAAGAGAAGGCCCACTGCTCATGAAGTCCTATGTAAGTTTAGGTTCCTAGCATTGAGCTATATGACTGGCGAGTCAGGGTGATATGTTGTTCTAAGGTTTATAAATTTCGAAACCTTTGTGTATCAGGTCATCCATGGATTGTAGATGACAAAGTTGCCCCAGATAAACCTCTCGACTCGGCGGTATTATCACGGTTGAAGCAGTTCTCGGCTATGAATAAGCTAAAGAAAATGGCTCTAAGAGTAAGTTTTTGTAAACTACTGAAGGAATAATTTGAAATCGTATGATATACGACGTACATCGTGTCACTTGTCGAATCTGCTAGATTTTAACATGATTAGTTACGGCATCATCAAAAAGTTGATGATGATATTGAATATCAGAGTGCTTAGCGTCTAGGTAATTGTTGAACATGTGAGATGTCATATCAGTTGAAGAGGGGAACGAAGCATTCCTTATAAGGGTGTGGAAACCTCTCTCTAACAAACGCGTTTTAAAATCGTGAGGCTGATGGCAATACGTAATGGGCCGAGCAGTGGGACTGGGCTATTACAATTGATATTAGAGCCAGACACCGAGCGGTGTGCCAGTGAGGACGTTAAGCCCCCAATGGGGGTGGACTGTGAGATCTCATGTCGGTTAGAGAGGGGAACGAAGCATTTCTTATAAGAGTGTGGAAACCTCTCCCTAACAAACGAGTTTTAAAATTGTGAGGCTAACGACGATACGTAACGGGCCTAAGCGGACAATATCTGCTAGTGGTGGGGTTGGGCTGTTATAAATGGTATCTGAGCTAGACACCGGGCGGTGTGCTAGCGAGGACGTTAGACCCCCAAGGGGGGTGGATTGTGAGATCTCACAATAGTTGGAGAGGGGAACGAAGCATTCCTTATAAGGGTGTGGAAACCTCTCCCTAGCAAACACGTTTTAAAACTGTGAGAATAATGACGATACGTAACGAGCAAAAACGGACAATATCTGCTAGCGGTGGGGTTGGGCTGTTACAAATGATATCAAAGCCAGACACTGGGCGGTGTGCCAGCGAGGATACTGACCCCAAGGGGGGTGGATTGTGAGATCCCACATTGATTGGAGAGGGGAACGAAGCATTCCTTATAAGGGTGCGTAGACTTCTCCCTAGCAGACGCGTTTTAAAACCATGAGGTTGATGACGATACATAACGAGCCAAAGTGAACTATATCTACTACCAACGGGGTTGGGCTGTTTCAAATGGTATTAGAGCTAGACACTGGGTGGTGTGCCAGCGAGGACGTTGGGCCTCCAAGGGGGGTGGATTGTGAGATCCCACATGATTGGAGAGGGGAACGAAGCATTCCTTATAAGGGCGTGGAAACCTCTCCCTAGCAGACGCGTTTTAAAACTGTGAAGCTGACGGTAATATGTAACAGGTCAAAGTAGACGATATCTATTAGCAATGAGCTGAATTCTAAATTCTTATGACTGATGGTAGGTAATTGCTGAAAGGCTTTCCGAAGAAGAAATTGGGGGACTGAAAGAGTTGTTCAAGATGATAGACATGGACAACAGTGGAACGATAACCTTCGACGAACTAAAAGAAGGCTTGAAACGAGTCGGCTCGGAACTTATGGAGTCTGAGATTAAGGATTTGATGGATGCAGTAAGAAATAAAGCTTTCTTCTACTTATGAATGCTTACTTTCGACGCAAACTGATGATGTTATGTTTGGCAGGCAGACATTGACAATAGTGGAACCATCGACTATGGTGAATTTCTTGCTGCTACAATCCATCTGAATAAACTAGAAAGGGAAGAGAACTTGTTGTCGGCCTTCTCATATTTTGATAAGGATGGTAGTGGTTTCATAACCATTGATGAACTTCAACTAGCCTGCAAAGAGTTTGGCTTGAGCGATCTGCATCTCGACGACATGATCAGTGAAATCGACGAAGACAATGTTAGTTACTCTTACATCTCCCTCATTCTCTGTAACAGCTCAAGCACACTGCTAATAGTCCGTTTTAGCTCGCTACGTATTGCTGTCAGCTTCACGATTTTAAAATGCGTCTGCTAGGGAGAGGTTTCCATACCCTTATAAAGAATATTTCGTTCTCTTCCCCAACCGATGTGGGATCTCACAATCCACCCCCTTTGGCGCTCAGTGTCTTCGTTGGCACTTGTTCTCTTCTCCCATCGATGTGGGATCCCACAATCGACCCCCTTCTGGGCCCAGCGTCCTTTCTGGCACATCGCCTCGTGTTCACCCCCTACGGGGCTTAGCCTCCTCGCTGACACATTGTCCCATGTTTGGCTCTAATACCATTTGAAACCGCCCAAGTCCACCGCTAGCAGATATTATCCTCTTTAAGCTTTCCCTGCTAGTAGATATTGACCTTCCCTCCCAAACTTACCGAGTTTTAAAATGCATCATCTAGAGAGTGGGATCTCACCTTTATCCTCTTCCTTCTATCTGATTTCGATTATACAAATGAATCAACAAGTTAAGACCAATGATTCCCTAAATTTTGATGTCAATTCAAAGCGTTTGATTGTTTTTGCTTTCCCCTCCCTGATATCTGTATAAATGTTCAACTGTCTCTATTCCTATTCGTATGTATTGATGAAACTTCTTTGGTTCTGTTTGGGGTTCATGCCAGGACGGGCGTATAGACTATGGCGAATTTGCAGCAATGATGAGAAAAGGCAACGGAGGAGTGGGAAGGAGGACGATGAGAGGACCGATGAATTTAGGAGAAGCTCTCGGCCTATCAACAAGTGCCAACAACCAATCTATTGATAATCCTACCTAAGAAGCTTACATATTACCTGTATGAATCCTATTTTAGTTCCATGAACGTTTCGATAAAACAAAAACTAAACATCCTTACTGTTGCGATTCTCATTTGAGGAACAGATATTTAAATAGAAGGCATCAGATGAAATTATTTCAGCAATAGCAACAGATTATAAGAATTATTACAGCAACAAAGGCTTAGAAAAGATTATTGTCGTTGCATTTCTTTCAGATGAAGGTATAGAACGTAAGATGCATGTCAGTTCATGAAGCAGAGGACTTGTTGGGCAGTACTCTAATGTTGAAACAAGTTTATAACTACAATTTGCTTGAGATGGCAAGGTACTTGGTGTGGCGACCCTGAGCAATAATTTTACCATTGCCTTTTCTCCTCAATTCAACATTAATTACTGCAATGGTTTTTCCCAATCGCAAAACCTTGGCGTCGATCTCGATTTCCTCCTAAAACAGTAGACAGAAAGTAGGATACAAACACTTGAGAATGGGTTCAATGGGAAGGATACAAAGAAATGACTACAGATACATCATACATTTTGATGATGCCCATTTGTTAACCATTAATTTTGAACTCAGATGTCTCAATATACATTATGATAAACTCAAGTTGCAATTAATATCACATTAAAGAAGAACAAAGTCATTTATTCTTGAATGGTTACAAAATTTAGGTGGATGATAATCTAAAGTTATGATGTTTTATGACTAAATTTTAAGACTTTTTATTTATTTTAAAGTTACATTTGCATAGAGACTAATTAATGACATAAAATATGAAGATTACAATTCGTGAAATGTCTTATGGAAGGTGAATTTTATTTTGAGACTATATAAAACCAAATATGTTTTCTTTGTAAAATAACTTGGAAAATGTAGTATAAAGAGCATATGTGATTTGTTTCAGTCCATGTCTAAGTTTCTTTATAATTCTATATAGTTTACCTTACATGCTTAGAATCATTCAAATTTGACAAGATTAATCTTATTTTGTTATTTGTGAAGTGATTTAAATTTTAACCAAAAAAAAAAAATTGAGATAAAATATTTGATCAATAAGGTAATCTAAATTTTACTTTTTGTTTGGATGATTTCTTATTGTTTTGGATGCGTTTGAATATTTAGATCTAAAAGGTCTTTTTATTTAATGAGGTTGTTAGATTTGAACTTCTTACAACCATTTGAGATAAAATCATCTCAATTTTAGAGTTTTAGCATTTGTAATCTATGGGTTTGGAGTCTCAGCATTTGTAATCTAGGGTTTTCATATCTAATATTTTCAAAATCTAAGCCAAATTTTTTAAAATATATATATATATATTCTTTGTGGATTAGAATTCAAATGTTTTCTAGAGAAATATGAAAATCAACCTAAAGAAATGGAGAAAAAACCAGCACAATTTCAAAACTCATTAAAGCTTACAGTTTTCATTTGTACATAAAGAAATAAGCTTTTATTAAACAAATGAAAGTACCAAAATCAAAACATACACACAGGAAAAACAAAAAACTATCATACCAGTCTGTATAGTACCTTTTAATAGATAATACAATGACTTAACCAATTAAGCTACACTTAGCTAAGCCATCCTCCAAATTTAACTTCAGATTAAAATCCTATAAAAATCAACTCCTTTTCTCTAAAACTCACCTAGAATCGCCATCTGCCCTGGATTATCTATGTGTAGCAGATTAAAAATCCAAGAACATGATTCTTAAAAGATCCAAGGAAGTCTTTACTAGCTCTAAGAACATCAGACAACTCTGCTAATAGCAGTAGAGCGTAAGTGTGCTCACGTTCTGTTTCACATGGAAAAATTATTTGTCCTCATTTTCCGTGACATATCCGACCACTCTCGAGAGCTTATTCTAATAGCTTGAAGTTTTTAATCCGATATTAATTTTAATAATATCAAAACATACAAATATATTTCTGTTCACTTGCGTTTGTGTCTTGGAATGAAACTGATATCTAAGCGTAAAGTTAAGTTTCACTTTAACTGAATCCACACATTCCTTTCACGTAAGTCATCACGCCTTGTGTTATGTGTTTTCAAGTCACTTAATCCAATGTTCATACCCTTATAACTCAGATTCTTCAACTATTTGCCCATGAATTGCTCTCTAAGAGAACAAATCATGAAAATCCAGTTATTCTTTTCCCTTTTCCCAATGACAGTGAGGGCAGAGGGGATCTTTACACTATTTACATCACTGGAAAAAATGTGTGGTGTGCAATATATCATCGGGTAGGAATCTGAACATAAAGCTTCTTATTAAGAGTTGAAATTCAGATTGACAGTAATTGGACCAGAAATTTCAAATTCCGTATCTGCTATTAGGTTAAAATGAAAATTAGAGAGACCGAGCAATGTGATCAACAGTAACGGAAAAGTGAAAGGTAGAAAAAGTGGAAAGTGGAACTCACGTCGAGATAAGCAGCATCCAGATAGGAGAGGTTAATTTCAAGGGAGACTCCAGTGGTGTTAGCGCCCAAAGTATTTAACGCTACAGAACCAATACAGTCGACGAGTGACGCCGAGGCTCCTCCGTGCAAGGAATTATTCTCGTTCTTAATAACGAAACATCAAGCAGCAAACAGAGAAATCCGAATTGAAGTGAGAAATAGGCAAAAGATCATGTACAAATCTAATTATCAAGTGAATCCTGCAGATGAACAAAGAAGAAGAAGAAGAAGAAAAGCATACGAGCAAACGAGCGGGGACTTTGAGAGAGCAAACGATCCGACCAGGTTCGATGAGATCAACGCGAATATCAGTCATCACAAAGTTTTCGTAAAATCTGAAAGGAAGGGCATCAATGGTGGACGCAACCTTCCGATCATCATCATCATCGTGCTTCTCCAGGTATCTCTTCGTCTTCTCCATCGCTCACTCTGTAAGATTATCTCATTTCCGAAATTGCCCAAAACTGGTTCATCCACTCCGAGGATGAGTTTTTATATTAATATTTATTAATTAAATTAAAAGTAACAATTTATGGAAAATCATTTAGTCCTAAAGTATGCAATAAATAATCTAATCCTTTCGTCAAATTTTTCATTAAAATAAATAAATCTCAATTGTATAATCCAACCATCGCCTAACCATAGTTGGGTTAGCTTTTTTTCTTTTCGGATTTGAGTTTGATTTATGAAAAACTTAAAATTGAGTTCACATCGAACCCAACTCTATTTTAAAATGGTTCTTGGGTTCGGTTGTGAGCCCTGTTCGGCTCACTAGAATAGTCAACTCGACCAATCCAACCTAACTCTACTATAAAATAGACGGTAGGATTAAGTTGTGAACTCTATTCAATTTATTCTGTTAGCCAACCGAACCGACTTTAAATTTTGGATTTATCTAAAAAAAACTTTTTTAACCCAACCCAACTCGAGCCTACCCTAACTAATATTTTTTTTTATTGTAATTATATATTATAGATAAAAGTGTTTGGTCTCAACTCAACATGTGCTATTATTAACTAGGTTCAATTTTGTTGTAATCATGATCTTGAACCTTACGAGTTTCTATACGATTTTATAATCTATTTCCGTTCATAATGGAATTAGACTTGCATCCGATGTTAGTGCTAAGAGTCTAACCTTGCTTATTCCAATAAACAAGATTGCCTAAAGTTATCACAACCACATTCCCTCTTATATGAATCAAAACATCAATCATATAAAAAAAAACTTTAAAGAATATGTGAAAAAATGTTGTTCAAATTATTACGATATCGAATTTTATTTGTTCTTAGATGGTTACAAATTTTGGATGGACGATCAAATAAGATTAAGAGATATATAAAACTATATATGTTATTTTTGTAAAATGCAGTGAAAAGAGCATTTATACTTTTTTTAACCAATCTCTAAGTTTCTTGTTTGTTGAGTGATTCAAATCTCAAACAAATATTTTTTATTTGAAATATTCGATCAATAAAATAATCCACTATGGGATGATTTCTTATCAACCTCGCCTTTATAAATTCACATAACTAGGACAAAACTCAATAGGTCATCTTGTATGAAGAGCTATCGATAGATATCTATCGGTATGGGTCGACAAACAACACTCACTTTAGTGAACCCTATCATGTAGTTTGCAGCCCATATAATTTGGTCAACCAGCAAACAATGGTGTGTATGAAGACAATATTAACATTGTGTCAGTTCTAGCATGACTTTTAAAAAACATATTATGAATTGAAACATATTTTTAAATAAGGTATTGAGAGAAAGACTAAACAATTAGTTACTTCAAATCAAGAAATGAATATGAAAATTTGCAACTTTCCTATATCATTGTTTTTTTTTTTTTTTTTTTGTTATCCTTCCTGTATCAACGTTAGAGAAGAACATAAAATGGATTGCAATACTTTTGCTTACCTTCGTGCTGTGGTCTCGACTCGACCCTCAGCTCGACTGCTGCGCCTCTGCATCTTTAGAACTCTGAGGGGAATACTTTTCCATCAGCCGAGCTAGTTCTGCATTGAATCCTTTCTCAAGCTCAACTTCTTCGTCCCAATGTCTTCGTTTCATTGCTGCCATCCGTTCCTCATGAGCTTTTATCAGTTCCTCCCTTTCTGCTACAAAGTCTTCTATCTCCTTCTCTTGAAACTTTATGAACTTTGCAACGTCCCCCGCCCTAAGCAAAAAAAAAATGAAACTGTGAGATCCCACGTCGATTAGAGAAGGGAACGAGTGTCAACGTCCTCACTGGGCTCCCAAGGGGGTGAATTGTGAGATCTCATATTGGTTGGAGAGGAGAACAAAACATTCTTTATAAAGGTGTGAAAACCTTTCCCTACCCAAACGCATTTTAAAAATCTTAAGGGAAAGTCCGAAAGAGAAGCCCAAAGAGAACAATATCTACTAGTGGTGAGCTTGGGATGTTACAAAAACAGTATCAAGTAAAGCTACGAAAAATTTGTAACATGTCACAGCATTGTTTTCCCAATATCCGCCGTTGTATGAATGACTTGCCACAGATTTAGACAAACAACATATCTCAATTACCTGCTATAATTATGTGTATTTGAATCGCTTCCATCAGTTTGTTTCATCTTCTCACGTTCCTGCTGCTGCAACCTTTCAAAATTCTCTTCCTTTTCGTCCCTCGTTTCGTGCAATAGTTTGATTTG